GACTTAGGCAATTCCATGCTTCCGCGATTCTAGCCAGGCCTTATAAATAGATCGAATAAACGTATTCCATATACACGTCTGTCGGCGCCGGACAGTTGGGCGTGATGCAGGCCTGAGTGTTCACCTCGTTGAAGCCTTCTCTTGCCTTCTGTTAAAGTGCGCTATGCACAAAAAGATGGTAGAACATGTAGTGATACGACAGGTTGTGGTTTTAGTATATATCTGCATGCCCGCTTCAACAACTGGTGGAGAACGAGTTTGCAGGTCGTCTATCGCATCGCCGGCACTGACACGGGCCAGCACAATTACAATGAAGCAGTGACAATACCACAATGAGTATTTTGGTGGCAATGTGGACTGACTCTTGCCCATAAGGATCACCATGGAACAATTTCTTGGATATCACGCGGTAATTATTCATAATATAATATTTCCTTCATATGTTTTAAGTAAAGTCCAATGAACAAGGGAATCATGATGTGGCAGTTATGTCTCCGCAAATCCGTCGAGACGCTGCCAAAGTGGCATGGATCGAGCAATAAGCGACGTTTTTCATCATTCGTTGTTTTTTCTTCCAAGAGCCGATTACTGACGCGACCACTATTGCGGAATTTTAGCCGGAAGCGTGCTCATTTGCGTATCCTGACACGCGCCTGACTGATTGCCCCACGATTATCTGCTATTGATGCCTCCATTATGCTGTGTTGCTTCTCTTTCCCAGTCATTCGGTCGCTGCATTGCCTAATATAGTAAATCTCCAGTCAGATAGCTTGACCCGCTAACTCTTCAAAAAACGGAATTCCACAAAAAGGTGTTAAGTAGGCGTCATATTGTGCAGTCGGTTTCGTTCTCGTATCGCACTTGCTTTGCAATTCTCACAGCGTTATGAGAAATGAATGCATTTAGGCGTGCATAACTGATCTCCGGCAGAGCTACTACTAGAAGTGTACTGCTTTGTACTGAATCAATACAACAATCGGGCTATGTTAAGATATTGTTGTATTTAGCGTACTTGGCGAACTTGGCGAATCCAGCGAGTTGTATCAAGAATATTCTCATGTACAGAGGCGAAAACATTGAAGCAATTGCGTGCATAGCTACCAACTGTTTTTATGATGACAAGCCTGAAATCGCTCTTCGTTACTACCGGTAAGGAAATACGGAGAGCCAAATGTGAAACCTAGATTAGCTGGCAAGCTCGTTTTAATATGTGCCATACATTATTGAGGCCCCAGGAGGAGTGGTGTGGTACATGTTGGCGCTTAAACGCTTATGCAATCTTCGGGTTCAAATCGCCGGGTCGACCCTCCCAGCTTAGCCAATACAATGTTCAACGGACCTCTGTTAAGTGAAGCTATGGTGAGCTTGTATCCGATTTTACGCCTCTGTGGGAATAAAACACCAGCTTGTAATTGCCTAGCTCCGCAAGTCCATTTTGGCAACATAGCCTTCCTACATATAACCCACTCGACTTCCTGAATAGAAGTAAGGTTGCGTGCCCATCCTACAAGGGTTGACAACGACGAAGTTATTCCACTACGATTCTGAATAGAAGTAGAATGCGTGCCCCATCCCACAAGGGATTGACCAACGACGAAGACTTTACCTTTTTATCCTTATGTCACAAAAGCCCCTTTCATACCGATTGCCGGAGTTGTCACGGTGACTTGGAGACCAGTTCGCCTATCTCTCATTAGCTTGTTCAACCATGCGCAATCTCCAGCCTAATATCTGGCAGAGAGAGAAGAAGAAGGATAAGGATACCAGTGAGGCACACTTTTAGGACTAGCTCCGCCCATAAAACCAATGTGGAGTGAGCCATTACTTGCAAAAACAGACGGTATCTCACTGTTTTCTATTGGTACCTATTGCCATCTATTACTATCCGCTGACTCTGCTGAGCCTATTTGTGTCTTTGTTTGCTTGTATTTCTTGGCAGCTTTAGCCATTCTCGAATCTTCCGAATTGTTTCAGACGAATCATGCAAATGGGTGTGAATAACGCTGAACTGATGATGAACATAGGGCTGTGCTGCTTCGCCTGTCAACAGTTCGACTTCGCTCTGTCATCGATACAAAGGTAATAAGGAGCTCCTTCTCAAACTCCAATTCATATCTATCCTAAAAGTGTTTCGCAAAGGGGACAATGTATTCAGGGCTCATTCTACAGCCACGGAGGATACTGCCGGGGAAATATGGTACAACACAGGGCACATAATGCTGGTATGTTGTTTTTCTTTTACCTTCTACTGAAGGATGAGTATGAAAGGCGCAGAAGCACGTAGAACAAATCGTCCAGAAGGCTCCACACATTCGACTTTCATCCTCTGCTTGCCTAGACCTCTAAGAAACAGCAGAACAACCATGTCTACGCTTTCATCTCTTCAAAAAAGTTTCTCCGGCAGTAAACCCATACAGGTTGTGTAGGAAGTTTACTACAACTACATTTACCACAGTAAGTACGTTGACGGCGCCCTTTTGCGGGGTCTTCCTAGGCACAGAGAGTAATTTGGTTTGGTGGGGGCCCCAAATGGTACTCAGCGAAGTCACATTGAAGGCGTGTAAATCCTATAACCAAAGTGACGCTTGTGAAGCGTAGGTTCAAAGCTCACAGGGCTCTTCGTAAAATTAAGATAAACCTCTCAATAAAGGGAACTTGCAAAAGAGGGGAAAGTGCACCTCAATCATGAGCAGAACAGCGCCTGTAAAGACGCATGCAAAATTAGGGAATCTTGCCTCTTACGCCTTCGCCTGCGAACTCAATGGTTCCTTTCTCAGCATTACTAGGCAGATAGCGGCACACCAGGTTCCCAGTACTGCCGGTGCACTTTCCTGTCAGAATAGCCTGACTACAGGGGGGGGGGAGGGGGCGAAAAACCCACAATTTCTCCTCGAGCTCGAGGCGATAAGTTTGCACTTTTATTAAGTTTCTGATTGGACATTTTTATTGAATTCAACGACGAGTTTCACACCATCATGAAACTCCGCCATTGCCTCTGGACGAACGCCATCGAGAGATTCTGCCACGCGACCGTGATTCGGTGCCTAAGTTCAGCGTTCGGAGTTCACATCAGGTGACACAATGGATATCATCTCTAGATTTCTGAACGCCACTCAATTCCAAGTAGGCTTTTCCAGTGCCCTTCGATTCCATGTTTTCATCAAATGAAACCACAGTTTAAGCTAGTTATGTAGGCTGGAGGCAGTCAGACATTGTGCATTTATCATATAAACGCGCCCCTGCTCTTTGCTCTCCCCCGAGTGAATGAGGCGATATTTAAAACGCGCTGACACTTGCGTCGTCTCCAACCCAAGCAATCACCGCGGACTGCTACATGCTATGGCCATTGCAAATTCACAGAAGACGCATTGGTTCGCTTATGCTTACAACTAGTGAGAGCTCAGCAATTGTTACCTCCATGTTGAGTTGGAATGATGAGGAGTTGCTAGGCTGTGTGGTATGTGGTCTTGCTCTTCAGCCTGAGCATCATTGTTCAAGTGCAGGCAACAGCGGAAATGCTGGTACATATAAGCGTAGAGAGCTGATAAGACTTGTGCGGCCGAGGGAAAAGTGAACGAACTTAATATCTCTGAATCGCTTGTCTTCTACGGCACTGTCCACTCTGATGTTATGGGGGGGGGTGGTGATCAAATATCGCCTTCTAATGCGTGAAATGGACGCTATTGACTGTATTGTTGCTGAAAAGAGAAAAAAATAGGCACAGCAGTTGACCCCCTCCGCTTACACGGTCAGCGTGAGCCGTGCTTGACTACTTTCACTTCAATAGGTAACACAATTTGTAGAACATCTTGATTCATGCCACATCTGCAGATCCTTCTGCTCTGAAGCATGCAGTCGTGAGAAACATGTTCAGAACTGCAGCAAACGTAAGCACAGGGACAGCAGAACGGCAATAATCCGATACGGCGCTTGCTTCTGATATACCCGCTTCAAATGGCTATCCTGTACCAATAAATCGTAGAAGAACTCACACTGAGCACCGACGCGTACCGCGCCAAAACCAGCTCCCGCTATGTATACCATTCATTTCTGATAGAGTGACTGCTGCGATTCAGAGATGTCTGTTGCGCGCACAGTTGGACAATGATGTTGTATTAGTCAGTATTCCTAATAATAACATCAATATCGCCAATTAGTGCGAAACAGACTCTACGACAGGCAGTGCATATCAGAACAGTGCGTTACCTGTCCACAAGGTTCAGTTGGAGATTGCGCCAAAAGTGGTGTGATTTATCAAATCGAATGTTTGGCATGTAACGCAACCTACATTGGGGAGACTGGAAGACCGTTAGCAATACGCGTCAAAGAACATCTTGCTGGCAAAAGGCGTGGTAATATAAGAACACCACTCGGCAAGCATTTGATCGAGGAGCACCGCGGAAACGACTTTGATGTGAAGTGCACGATCCTGGCATGCGAGACTGAGATTTCTGCCAGAAAAGCGCTAGAGGCATTCTGGATTTCTGCAAGAAATCCTAGAATGAACAACCGCAATGAGTGCTTATCCTTAACAAATGACCTCTTGCCATTTGTGCCGCACTGCGAGCTACTGATGTGAGCGGTGGGACGTGCCATATCTGACTATAGTCACTATACAAGATTGGCACAGTAAGTCCCATTATTGTACTAACAACTAACTGAGCGGCTACTCCCGCTCTCGCTGTGGTGGACTGGGTGAGTCTTTCCCCTCATTCGAGACTTTCGGGGGGCTTTCTCAGTAGTCTGTCAGAAACGTTAGGGAGGAGGAGATCTTTGGCGGTGTAGAGAGAGCAAATTCAAACCATGAGCCACGTTTAGGCCTCTGATGAAGACGATCTAGTCGAAACGTCAGGCCATAATAAAGTTTCCACCTAACAACCTCGTGTGCACAGAAGAACTACTTATTGTAAGTAACAATTTTTAAGGCTATCGGAGATACAAGACAGGCTAGTCGATGCTTCCGTCTAGCACTTGCAGCCGATTCGGAACATGGTGAAGCAATGGTGAATTTGGGTATCCTACGGCAAATGGAAGGTAAGCAGATGGCTGTCTTACTTTCATCGTAGTTATTACGAGTATCAAATTTGAGTAAACTGAGTGCTCGGCGGTAATCATAATTCCTAACTTTGTCCAGTGCTCACTTTCCATCTGAATGTTTTTCCGTGTAATATGCGGCCCTCCCCTTGCTTGAGTCAAGGCATACTCACAAACTTTGTGATTAGATGACCTCTTGACAATAGATATTGTACCTTCCTCCCCTCCCTCTCAAAAAGGATATAGAAAGGAAGGAGATGGCTCTCTAGAAGAAATTTATCCATTTCTATGGCGCGCTTTGCTCCGTACTGCCGATCGTTGTTCTCTCTCCAGGAAAACTCGATCAGGCTCGATCACTTTATCACTCGGCTATAGCGAAGTCGCCGCAGCTTTTTGAGCCTCACTTCAATTTGGCATTGCTGGATACCCAGGTGAGGTGACTTGCTCCGAGCTGTTCACGGGAGAGTGAGCTCTCCCGCAGTTTTTTTTAATGTATCATCAAAAAATTCTTCAGACTGGTCGGTACGATGAGGCGTTCCGAATGATCAAAGTTGCATTGACGTTGTTCCCAGATCACAGTCATTCTCTACAACTTTATAACACCCTTCATCAACTTTATACGATCATTTGAATATCTCAATGGATAAATATGTATCTCAGAAAATGTTCAGTGCAGTGCCGTGAGCTAGCAATCCAGAAGTGTGTTGTAGAAATGTATGCCTGTACACAGTTGCAGCATAGTCCGTCTACTGAATACCGAAATATAGAAGAATTATGATAGTAAAAGAAAAACTAATTGGAGCTAAAGTTCAAGCAGTAAATAGCCGTTTTCAAGTCAGGGCACAATGAAGGTAGTGCAGCAGTGCTCCCCTCCCATAAACCGGATTTATATAGGGCCAGTCAGGAAGTACGCTCACGGTCAGCATTGTCAGATCACTGTCACCGGTCACGAGGGTGGACCCTAGGAGAGAGAATGAGTCGCAAATTTCGAGGGTACTTCCATCGTTGCCACCTTTACGCGGGTGGAGCCCTCGTTCTAATGGGCTAATGCCGTTTGGACTCCAGCAATTTCGGCACCGAGCTCATTTTTAAATTGCCTAAGTCACCAAATCCGCTAAAAACTTGTATATAGGGGTAGTTCAACATCCTGATTACGAATATGACATTCACTCTTGCCGCTGGCGCTAACTGGATGCCGCAGATTCTGCCCCATAACTGCTAAAGGAAACCGGAGCCACATTGAAGGTAGTCGTAAAAAAAAGCATGATAACATAACTGAAGCGCACAAAAAAAAAAAAAAAAAAAAAAAAAACGGGCCAAGAATGCGTCTCGTAATTGTAATCACGATGTTTAAGTAACTTCATATGTACATTGTTGTCAACCGGGCTTGGTGACTTAAAGCAGTCTAAAAACTGAGCTTCGTGCCGAAATTGCTGGAGTCCCAAACGCATTAAGTAGTTCTAATAGCCACGAAAGAAAGAAAACCCTTTTGTATATGGCATTCCAGAGAAAAACTTTGTTCTCAAGCATACAAGATGTTTTTCTTGCTGTTGTTAAAAGCATAAGCAAGTCTCCCGGCGATCCTGTAGGTTCTTCAGAGGCTCAGATCCAGGGAGCTGCCGTTCGTCATCCTTCCATCAGCATTAAGTGCTCCTCATAACCTCGAAGAGGGTATTCTAAGGGCGAGACGGTAAAGAGCGATCGTAATCCACCGCCAGCGTGGCGATGGTCGCGGCGTTTCATAACTCGTGTTAAAACGAGTTTAGACCCCGTCATCGTAGACGCTCATTATTGTTTTCGATCCTTAACTGCATGTTGTCGCCTTCCACTGCCTGAAACCATCGTCCTCCTGCCGGCGCGGACGGTCCGTACGCTGACGCCCCATTCGGGGCGGTAAATTACGATCCTCTGTCGATACCCTATTTCCAATGAGCTCCAGGTGTGTAAACTGGGCGACACAAAAAAGCGCTTTTTGGCCAAAAGTCTCAAGGGTAAAAGGAGCTCCACAGTGGGTGAGTTGTACCAGATATGGTAATCCTATTCGCCAGCGAAAATGACTTATCTCACAGTAAGACAAAGAGTAATAATCCCGATACTCAGTAATTAGATGCAGTTTGAAAAGGAGTTTACCAACTGCCCGGAAAGGTGTGTGTATGCGTGTGCTTCTTTGGTATCTCAAATATACGTTTCTGTACCTATCACATTTGAACCCTCAACATCCCGCGTCCGGGCGTTCATTGAACCCCCCCCCCATTCTCTTTTGTTTTCAGAGTATACAAGGGGGGGCAATAAGAAGTCACTTCGACGGTCACAATCAGCAAAATTTTCGCATCCCGTAGCAGTCTGACTGAAGAAGACCTTTGGAATCAATGTCACCTCGAAACAGCTGCGAAACTTCTGGTATGGAGTCACCCATGAACAGCTACCCAGAAACCAGCACCTTGAATCTGGATGACCTCCAACATCGAGCAGCTCCGACAACGTCGCCACGGTCTAGGACATCATCTTCACCACAGTCGCCAAGGCGCGGGTTGATGGTATGGACCGGACGTACCTGGAATGGAAAGACCAATATTTTCTTCGTGGACCCCGGACTGAAGGTGAGCGCTGGCGGTTACATCGAGCAACTTGAGAAGAATATCCTCCCCCACATGTCGTCGCCCATACCTTCCTGGAAGCTTTGTGGCTGCTACTTGATTGGGTGCCAGCACGTGGAATCGGAGGGCGTTGGAAAAACTCTCGCCCCTTGGAATCGAAGGGTGATGAGTAACTAAATGAGATGGAATATCCAAGTAGGTCACCTAACCTAAACTTACTCAATTACCCGGTTCGGGCGGAGCTCGTGGTCTACGGTGGCGGAGAAATCGACTATCTCGCTGATCTCAGGCACCACATCGCGGTCGCGTGCCAGAATCTCTCGATGGCGCTCGTCCAGAAGGCTGTGGCGGAGTGTCATGATAATAGTATTTAATATGCTCTTTAATATGGTGGTGAAAATGTCCGATCAGAACATAACAAATTGTACTTATAAGCGGCTCTGAAAGTTCAAGGAAAAGAGTGATTTTTCTTTATTTAAAAAGTATCTAAATCCATACTACATGATTCTACGCTTCGAAGCATATCTGCCTGTCAAATTTTTCATTCACATTGCATTCATTCCGTTGGGAAACTTGGGCCCCCCACCCCACGGGGCATCCTGTCACCTCCCTCTTCCTCATTTACGACGTACGCATCGCGCCAATTCCTCAAAAGTGACAGCAAAATATCCGTGGCTTGTTTTGCTGACGATGTGAAAGTGGCGATAACTTATGAGGAGCTCGGCAGATCCGAGGCACAGCTAGCTCTGAACAAAGTCGTTGAAAAAATGCTCACGTGGGCGGAGTGCTGGGGTCTCGAAATAAACTACAATAAAACGGCGCTGTTTTCCCTAGGAACTAAGGCGCTAGATATTGTCTTTCCGAACAAGACCCCTTTGCGACATAGCGAGCGGGTAAAAGACTTAGGAATCATACTTTCAAGGAAGTTGAGTTGGAGCGAACACGTTCAAGAAATTAGTAACAAAGCACTAAGGTTGGTCTACCTTTTATTCAGAAATATTCATTGCACTGAGCTTAAACTATGGATAAGACTCTACAAATCGTATATACTCCCCATCGTGGAGTATTGTAGCCCGGTTTGGAACCCATTTCTTGTGAAAGACATTCGAAAGCTCGAATCAGTGCAAAAGACATTCACTAGAATTTTGTATTATAAGGTCTTTCCTGACTCTGGTTATCCGGAATCGTTACCACCCTATTCAGCGTTCGGTCTCCGCGAACTGAATTTGAAGAGTCTTTTCCATAGGAGGATTGTTGCTGACTTAGTTTTTGCTTTCAAGTTACTTAAAGGTGAACTTCGTCTCCGCCCGTCGAGATTTTGGATTTTTCGCCCTACGAATGGACGTCGCGGTTGTTTTCAAATGTACGGGCACAAGATTGGTAAACACCACAGGCAGCTCAGGCATAACAGTTTCATTCCGCGCACAACTCGTTGGCTGTCGCATTCTACCTTCTACGTTCTTCGATTGTAGAGATTCGGTACATTTCAAGAGACAACTTATGAATTGCAATCTCTTAGAGCACTTATGTCTTGATGACGTGGGGTAAAGGGTAGGTCCCTGCAATGGATTGATTGAGTACTTCCTCGTGATATCTGTGTTTTCGGTCTGGTTGGTCAAGACGCGTCGTTACTGAGGAGCTGACTTTTTTGGTTCTCTCTCCTGCTGCCGCCACCACGTCGTTCTCTCTGCATTTAGAACTTTTTCGGATTATTACCTTAAATTGTCTTACAGTGGTGCTCTCGTGCGAGAGTCTGGGACTTCCAGCTTGCTGTTAGCTACTTCTGCTTGGTTTGTCGGTTCCACGAGGTCAGCTGGCATACTCGTGTTTCGAAGTGCCGGCAAACTCCCATGACCCCTGATGTG